GTGTGACTGACGGAAGTTTGTAAACCGCTGCTGTCACTTGAAAGCTGGAAATCCCCCCCGTGGCAAAAGCAGACACAGAAGTGGGGCAGTGAAGCTGTGGAAAGATTGCTGTCTCATCTCCTCCTTTTGACAGATTTATTCCCATCAAATTAAGGTCTACTGTACAGGCTGTCACTTGAAAACTGGAAATTCCCACCCCCCAATGCAAAAGCAGACACAGAAGTGGGGCAGTAGAGCTGTGGAAAGATTGCTCTCTCATCTCCTCCTTTTGACAGATTTATTCCCTATCAAATTAAGGTCTACTGTACAGTAGTTAAAGGGTTAAAGGGTTAAGTTATGTTTTAGGTGGGATATTATGAAAGCAAAAAGCAGAAAACAAGACCAATAACCTTGATTTATTAACCTATTAACACAGTATACCCCATTTCCCCATGATATGTACTTACAAGTCATTTGCCCACCGGCAACTAGTTTGTAGTTTATAGTTTATAAAGTATACAAAAAACTATAGATATCCTGTAATATTTGGTTGTTTGCTTGCATGTCATTGAGAAATAAAACATGGATAACATCTAGGAAAATACTTACAAAAGGAAAATGACAACTATAAACTGCAGCAACTATAGCTGCCGGTGGGCTTAAATGGGTTAAGCAGCAACTGCCTAATAAATGATTGTAATGTTATAATTTTTACGATTCTATTTTTACTATCATCTTTGTCTGCTCTGCATTTTGCATCTGCATTGGTATTTCTTTCTTGCTCTTCCTTGCATTTCTTTCTTTCTTTCTCTGAAAACAAGTTGTATTAGCTTTTGCAGATTTGCTTCACATTAAGTCATCTATAAAGAAAATTCAATATTGAACAGCCATAAATGCTGATTACGCTTAGCTTTATTTATTTGGAGTTCCCTACTAGTCACAAGCAGCTTAATAAATCAATGTGCTGCGCGTTTATTTTAAACCGATAAACACTTTAAATAGTCAGAACTTAAAATACAGGACTTATAATAAAGTGTCATAGCATGTTCACCAGTAAACAACCGTAATATAGAAAAAGAAAACTACAAATACTACTGCATTTTGAGTCATTTGTATATGCCACAAGTTTACATTGACAGGGAAGTTGGTCATATTGAGAAAGTTGCATTTGAACTGCCTACTCTGTACAACCACAGTCTTAAGTTTGGGTTGAGGATTCATCCAAAATAGAAACAAGGAAGTGAGAGAGAGACCAGGCAGCCCTTGGTTTTATTCTCTGCACACATCAGAATCAATGAAAAACCATTCGGCATGTGGAAAGCACAAGTCGTTTGTTTCTGCATCTATACAGGTGAGTAGTAGCGATCACTTTACATCAGAACGACAGCATCTTGATTTCAGACTCTAATTTCAAAACGATCAGCATCAGTGTTGGGAAAACTACATTCAAACTCTGGCTTGCCAAGTTTGGCATAGGCTAGTCCTCGTTCAAGTTGAGTCGAGCTTAAAAAGTAAAGCTACAAATGAACTAATCTACTAATAAACTTAATTACTTTTATTGCTATAACATATTGAACAAAAAATGAGGATCTCGTTTAGGGTGGCAGCATTTAACATCATTTGAACAGATCAATTTACTCTGAATATGACCATTAAAAATAGCTAAATCACATTATTTGAACATTAATTATTATTATTACATCTTTAAACATACATTAAATTATATTAATATTAATTCATATAAATAAATATTAAATATAAATTTGTATATCACTTAAAAAAATACTTAAAATCTTTTTGTTTGGATTGGTTGAACTTGTATAATTGGAACAAACAGATTCAGTAAAAATAACTAAACTGCTTCATATGACTGGAAAAAAAATAACATCACGCTTAAAATCCATTTTTTAGTGGATTAGTAGTACCGTGACTCATTGGAAAAAGTGGATTCTTGCCTTTGAAAGTGCATTAGTCACATGTAGTTAGGCTAATTGTGTTGCTAACTGCTAGTTAGTTGTTGGAAATAAGTAACATTGAATGCTGCTTATTTGCTTTATGTCTGTGTATTACATAAATCACGACTGCATATATTTAAAATACTTTTAAATGTCATTTAATTTATTTTCCAGCCTGTCTACAGGACACTAGCTGTGCTAAGATCGGATATGAGGGGAACCATGTAACGTTTCACACCATTTACCCACCGGACTACGAGACAAACACCAAGTACTTCGGCAAAACTGATGGTTTCTTCTTTGAGAAACTGGTTGAGACTTCTCATCCCAACAGGTGGGTGAAACAGGGGCGATTCGCTCTATTCGACAACACGTCCGCATGCATCCTTACCGCCGCCATCTTGAAACTGGTCGCGGAGGATTCTGGCTACTATGCCTTCGGCGTGGATATTAAACTGCTGCCTGATCTGATGGGGGATGAAATACAACTGACTGTCATTATGGGTGAGAACCCTTTAACATGTTTTATTTTTTCCATGACAGTCACACATGACTGAATGCAGAAGTGAATGTGGCTAAAGGGACGAATCGCGATAGTTTCACGTTCCTTCTTCTCTGCACAGGTGAAGCACAGAGACCCACAACACCAGCATCGACACCGAAAGGTACCACAGAAATACAGGCTCATCATACAAAAGCTATATACAATATACTCAATATGTTATTACTGCATAATGTTTTATAATGTACTGCAATAGTGAGGCGCAGACATCTGGCATTATTTGCACCATGCTATTTTTACTTAGTGCAAATATAGCTGCTGCCTATCTTAATGATCTCTGTTCTAATGTTGTGTTTTAGTGATCGTCTACAGCACGAGCAGTCCTCTGAATATCACAGCACAGAACTGGGCCAAAACTAGAGATCAGGGTGAACTCTCTGTCCTCTGTACAGTCTGTCATTGATTAATTCAATAATTAATTCTGTCATTCATTCTGCCTATTGTTTGTTCAATCCACCATTTCTTTATTCCATTGTTTAATCAGTCTATCATTCATTCTGTCATTTGCTTTATCTGACTTCATTCATGAATGCATTTTGTCCTCCATTCTGTCTATCGTTCACCCATTCTTTCATTCAGTAGTTCATTAATTTGTCTGTTATTTGCACTATCTATTTTTCGCTCATTCGTTCTCTTGTTCATTCTGTCTATCATTTGTTCATTCTATAGTTCTGTTATTTGTTTATTCCTTCTGTAGTTCATACTGTTTATTGGTTTTTCTATATTTATTTTGTTTTATGTTTTTTTGTTCATACCATCTTTCATCGGTTATTTTCTTTCTTTTCATCAATTCTTTCGATCATTAGTTCTGTGTTTGTTTTGTTCACTAATTCCACCATTTGTTCATTCAGATGCATTACTCATTCTGTGTATTATTTGTTAATTTATTCTATAATTAGTTCATTCGTACTGTATATGATTCGTTCTTTCTGTCACTTGTTCATTCTGTCATGCATTCTCTCATTCCACTATTCATCTGTTTGTTCATTCTTTTGATCATTCATTCACTATTTAGTTCATACTGTTTATTGTACGCGGATTCAATAGAATGAACGAAAATGGAGTGATCAAACGAGAGACTGTCTCTTGTTCATTCATTATTTTGTTTGTTCTGTTATTCTTTAATTTCTTCTATCGATTGTTTGGACCTATTGTTGTCGTTTTATATTGTCTTATCGTTCCTATTAACGTCTTACACAACAGAACTGTCTCTGTTCAGCTCTTACTATTTGTCTGTCAGTTTCTCTTCCACTCTTTGTTTCTGTCGCTCAAATAAACTAATTGTGTTTTTATCAGGTGTGTCAGATTGTTTCCCTTTTCCACAGAAACTTACCTCAGGTTTGTGACAGTCTTGAGCTTGGTGTGTGTTTGCACACTTCTGGTTGTGTGTCCATTCGTTCTGTTTAAAGTTTTAAAATGGGCCACCACCTCCAAGCTGTCAGGTGAGACGACTGCATGAGACTTCCTCTTTTCTATGCAATCATAGCTTTAACATTTATCATGCAACAATTAATACATGCATTTCCCTCCTCCAGTGTCTGTGTCTTTTCACACCAGGAAGACATCAGCTCAAGTTGTTGTAAGTCTGTAATCGATGTTATCACGTTCACAAGCATTGCCACATTAAAGGGGTCATATGATGTTGCTAAAAAGAACATTATTTTGTGTATTTGGTGTAATGAAATGTGTTTATGCGGTTTAAGGTTAAATTAAATAAACTCTCCAAAGAGAAAGGAAAAATTGAAATCACATCATATGACCCCTTTAATAGTGACGCTGATAACGATAACTAATGTCCTCACTGATATGAAAGCTTCCTCTTTACAGGATGAGTATGTGAAAATGCACTCAGTCGTCCTTACAAACTCACCCACGGCTCGAAGTGATAGAGGTTCAGTTATCCACGACTTTCACAGGCCTGCAAACACAGAGCCGGTTCACAGCACCGATGCCTGCTACATAGATTTTGTGCAACCAAATTTGGATCAGATCTACACAGAAATTAACCCTGATGTTGTTCAAGAGTCTGTTTATCAGAGTATTGATCAGACTACTGACTGACCACAGCATTCTCATCAACAGCCTATCAAAATCACAGTTTCTTCACATTTTTCCTGCAACAGTTTTTCAGTAACACTTTACAGTAAGGTTCCTTTTGTTAACATTAGCTAACATGAACTAACAAAAAAATATATATATGTGGTAACATTAACATTTACTAATGAATTATTAAAATCAAAGGTTATATCTGTTTATGTACCTGTGCTAATGGTAACAAAGTTTACACATACATTGCATTTTGTTAGTTAACGCATTAACTATCGTTAACTAATTGAACCTTATTGTATAATGTTACCGATTTTCATCAGTTTGTTATGTTGATTTCATGTATAAAGAAAAACTATTGAATTGTATTGAATAAATAAATGCATCTGAATGAAAACTGTAAATGCAGATGGTATAGACATGTGTGTGTGAGTTTAGTGGGACTACAAGTCACGATACGTCACTGCAGATGTCTCAAGAGGATGGAGAGACAAAAAGAGATGTAAATACTTTATCGCACCACGCAGGAGGAAGGCAAAGTGTTCTGTGGATTTCACACAGTTTTTAGCTTTTAAAAGTGTTGTGAAGTGAGTCTGTTCAGCATGTGGATTTTTCTAGTTTTCCTCTCCCACATCTTCAAAGGTGAGTTAACATTCGCTTATTCTTCGTAAGGAAACAAGTAACTAAAGACTGAAACCCGATGATATGTGACCCTGGAGCACAAAACCATTAAGTCTTAAGTCGCTGGGATATATTTGTAGCAATAGGCAAAAAAACATTGTATGGGTCAAAATGATCGAGTTTTGTTGAATGCCAAAAATCATTAGGATATTAAGTAAAGATCATGTTCCATGATTTTGTAAATTTCCTATCGTAAATATATCAAAACTTAATTTTTGATTAGTAATATGCATTGCTAAGAACTTAATTTGGACAACTTTAAAGGCGATTTTCTCAATATTTCGATTTTTTTGCACCCTCAGATTCCATATTTTCAAATAGTTGTATCTCAGCCAAATATTGTCCTCCTATCCTAACAAACCATACATCAGTGGAAATCTTATTTAGTCAGCTTCCAGATGATGTATAAATCTCAATAAAAAAAAAATGTGACCCTTATGAGTGGTTTTGTGGTCCACGGTCACAAATTTGGACTGACTTGTGTTATTGATTCAGTTGATCATGTGATGTCACATCCTGTCCGACTCCTGATTTCCAGTGGTGTCTATGAATCCTCTAACTGCTTCAGTGGGAGGAGACGTCACATTTCATTGTTCACATTTTATGGCCCATGGGAACATCAAATATTTCTGCAGAGACTCTTGTGTGGTCAAGAATATTCTCATTCAAACGAATGCAGGAGAGAATCCGACTCGCACAGGCAGATACACGATACATGACAAACGATCAGACTTCACCGTTACCATCGCTGACCTGCGGCTATCAGACTCTGGCACTTACATCTGCGCAGTCGACAGGCTTTTAAAAGACACTTACACGTATGTGACTCTACGTGTGTTTGAGGGTAAGTTATTATTAACATTTTTAACATTCTTTTGTGAACTCACTTTATTTAGTAAAAATGTTTGTTTAGAGCTGAAATTGCCCTTTCAGAGGTAGGTTGTAGTTAAAAGTATTTCTGAAACGTTTGCTTTGCTTCAGATAACAGTCAAACTACTAAGATATTCAAAATACAATTAAACATGCTTTGAAACAATGTGCATATTAAAAAAAAAAAAAAAGCCATGTAGGACTGTAAGTGTTTAATAATCTTACTCAGTTCAGACTTGTTTATTGTTTTATCTCTATTTCTTAAATCTGTGGGAAATATCTGAATTTCTCAGTTATGATAATCAAAAACAGGAAACGTGATAAATAACACCCATTTCCTCTTATAGCAGCATATTTATGTATTCATGCACTAATATTTTCATATTTCTATTATCCAGTCTCTACACTAAGGCCTGCTCCAGCAAGTTCATCCAGACCACCTGCAAAACAAACAACTAGAGATGCAACAGGTCATTTCCATTCATCTTCCAGTCATTTCTTCCTTAAATTCATATATTCATTCATACTTTTTTTTTTTAATAGAAAAGAAGGGAATATCAATGATAAAGCGCTCGACTGCAGGCTCTCCACCAGAAACCATGCACAGATCAGCACTGTCTGGTAAATGAGACTTTTTTGGTGTGTTTGAATATTTGTAGTTCAATCATGACAACTCTCAGAAGATTTTAGCATGGTGATGGATATGACAGTGTTAATGTATTTGGTCTTGGCGGAACAGATCTGCTATGCTGCTGCTGCTGCTGCTGTTGGTTATTGCTGTAGTTAGATTATTGCTGCTGCTGCTGCAAGCAAGTACAGGAACTTGCTACTGCCGATGCATACTGCGATATGGTGCAGTGAGTATTTAAGACATACTGCTGCTGCACAAATAGCATA